TATATATATATATATATATATATATATATATATATATATATATATATATATATATATATATATATATATATATATATATATATATATATATATATATATATATATATATATATATATATATATATATATATATATATATATATATATATATATATATATATATATATATATATATATATATATATATATGGAGCATAAATAATACTCCCTCCGTCCCTAAATAAACTTTCATTTTTGACTTTTTGAGGATTTAAGGGAGGGATATTTTTGTGTTGACTTTCCAAAAATACCCTTGATGTGATGTGTAAAAGTAAGATATGATAGGTAGATTATTAGTAAAAAGGGATGATGTGATAGGTAGGGTATGAAAAAGTAAAGGGTAAAATTGGTTTTTTAAGGGAAAAGAGAAGTTTATTTGGGGACAAAGAAAAAACGAAAGGGAGAGTTTATTTAGGGACGGAGGGAGTATGATCGAAAACCATTGAACTATGGCTATAACCACATAATTAAATGAATCCTAAACTTCGATAAAGTTATTTTTAAATTTTTTTTATAGGAAAATTGATTTGAAATAAAATATTAAAAAATTTAAAATTTTATCATAAGATCCACAAAACTGAATACGATAATATCCAATTTTTTTATATGAAAATTGATATGAAATAAAGTAATAAATATTTAAAATTTTTATCAAAAGACCTACAAAATTGAATATCAATGGATAATGAATAACAATTAACAAAATGAATAAAGTTTGATCAAATAAATAGTGAACGAGCAGATTATTGTTAACTGAAAAAGTAACTGAAGAATTATTATTTTCTATAATTGATACAATGATTCTACCTCCCTTTATATACAAAGTGGAGGGGGTTACAATTAGGAAACAATAACAAATATGGATCCTATACAATTATGGAATGTACTATAATTGATACAAGGAATATACTAAACATATATAATAAATATGCTTAACATATTTAACATGCTACCGACTCAGTTGGAGATCTTCGAATCCCAAGATTGTGTCGATAGTCAGTAAAGATAATTGAAGGCATCCCTTTAGTAAAGATATCTGCAAACTGAGAGGAAGAGGGAACATGCAGGACTTGAACTTGACCGAGTGCTACTTTGTCTCTTACGAAGTGAATGTCAACTTCGACATGCTTGGTACGCTCATGTTGCACTAGGTTAGAGGATAAGTAAACGGCGCTGATGTTGTCATAGAAAACAATGGTGGCTCGGCGAAGAGGTTGATGGAGTCCAAGTAGAAGATATCGGATCCAACTGCTTTCAGCAACAGCATTTGCTACGGCTCGGTACTCAGCTTCTGCACTAGATCTGGAGGTGGTTCCTTGTCGTTTAGAGGACCATGAGACGAGATTGTCTCCGAGAAAAACACAGTAGCCAGATATGGATCGTCGTGTGTCAGGACAACAAGCCCAATCAGCATCGGAGTAGGCCTGAAGTTGATCGGAGGAGCTGCGGGATAGAGTGATCCCATGGGTAGAGGTGCCCTGCAGATAACAGAGAACCCGATTTAAAACAGTAAGATGGGGCGTCCGAGGAGCATGAAGATAGAGACATAACTGTTGTACTGCATATGTGAGATCGGGTCAAGTGAAAGTGAGATACTGAAGCGAACCAACATGGGACCGATAAAGAGATGGATCGGGGACTGGGTCACCATCTGTAGCGGACATTTTCCCTTTGGAGTCCACGGGCGTAGAGATGGGCTTACTGTGAGTCATGCCTGCTCTGTCTAGAATTTCGTGGGCAAACTGAGTCTGATGTAGGAAAAGTCCCTGATTGGTGCGTTGAACATTGATGCCGAGAAAAAAATTAAGTTCTCCCATATCTGTCATGGCAAATTCTCCTTTTAAGCGCTCTGTGATATAGGATAAGAGCATGGTCGTTGAGGCTGTGAGCACAATGTCATCAACATAAAGGAGCAAGTATTCCATGTGTGTGCCACATGATAGGGAAGTGTCAGTCTTGCAGCGCTGAAACCCGATATGGTGTAGAAATCCAGCAAACCGTTGATACCAAGGTCGAGGTGCCTGCTTTAATCCATAAAGAGCCTTCTTGAGTTTGCAAACGTGGTGTGGGCGTGATGGATCCTCGAACCCAGAAGGCTGACTGACATAGACAGTTTCCTGAATGTGGCCATAGAGAAAAGCATTCTTGACATCCAGCTGGTGTATGGGCTAGCCCCGAGCGAGAGCCAAACTAAGGACAATTTGGACGGTGGACGGTTTGATGACCGGACTAAATGTGTCACTATAGTCAATGCCGAAACGCTGGTTGAACCCTCGGACTACCCAACGAGCTTTGTACCTAGACAGATCACCTGTGGGGCCAAATTTGTGTCTAAAAAGCCAGTTGCCAGTGATAACATTTTGAGTGGGGGAGGGGGGTACTAATTCCCATGTGTTATTCTTTATTAAAGCATTAAATTCATCACACATTACATCATACCAGTTAGGATCTTTTAGTGCACTTCGATAGGTTGGGGGAAGTGGTGAGATGGTAGCTGAAGTGTTGAGGTTTAGGATGGATTTGGGGTATAGTGGATGCAAGATTTGGCGCGGGTGGTCATTAGGTGTGTATTT